AATTAGTAAATGAGTTCATATTGTAATTTAGTTAGTGTTATATTACTTCTCGTTTGTTGTCTTTGATAAAAAAAATTTGATTTTTGAAACTTGTATCTTTGACAATGGACCGATTTTTAAGCAGATATAGACGTAATAGTGTAGATAAAGAAAGTATGCCTTTAACCAGTGGCACTATCGTCATCGCTCTCTACAGGGAAAGAACATGCACCTTTTGAAATAAACGGAAAAAAATATCAGCTTTTATTAAAAAAACTCAAGCTATGGAGAATAAAATTAAATAAAGATACAGACAAAAATTGTTTTTCAATATTACAGCAATTTGTGACGTCAAATGAGCATGATTTTTTTCGAGATATAAAAGCCATCTTTGAGGAGATTTATCACAGCTAATTAACTGGTTTGTGAAATGTATTTTCAAAATAAAAATTTTGATAATCTTGCATGGATTCAAGATCCATTTAACAATATATTACGTCTGAATCTAATTCTGTAGAAAAAGAGAATCTTATCGAGTTATCTTGCGGTAACACTTTAAAAGCAAATTTTGGAATTGACGGAATTAAGAATTTTAATTAAAGTTGAATATCACCTTCTAAGTGATAAGGCTCAGTTGATTATAATTCCATTATTGACGTCGAATTTATGCAGAGCTGGGTTTTCGGCGGTCTCTGTAATAAAAAGCAAGTATAAAGCAAAAATCCACGTGGAAAAGAAGTGGGGGTGGCCGTGTCCAGTTTAATTTTGCTATTTGAGAAAATGTGCAGTGACTTGCAGATTCATCCATAACATTAACTATTAAATATTAATTTGATGTTGATAAAGTAAACAAAAATGATGAAGATACACGAGTTTTATTTATTTTTATCTCTTACTTACGAATAGCCATGCTTAGGGTAGGGTGCCATACAAAAGTTTAAATTGAAAAAGGGCGCCGCGACTAGGAAAATTAAGGAATCACTGAAATGAAGCATTTTTCTTGCTTCATCTTATCAGTTCCACTTCACGCAATTGGCTGTTATACATGTGATAACAAATGAATTTGTCAATTATGTCATTTGCAACACCACTGAGGTCCATCTGAGGTTGTGCTAATAGGTTTATCCTCAATATGTAATTTTATTTTATATATATTTAGATTCTTCTGATTATCCAAAATTATAAGCTTTATAGAGTTCTATAATTTCTCTTTGGGTTGATCCACACTTGGAAACTTGCGAAGTTTATCATTGGTTTGACCCCTCTAACTGCACTCGCCTTCAATTGATTTCCCATCTGAACAAGCATTCTCTTCATTGCATTGCCTTTTACTGTTATTAGAATGACTTTCACAGTAAAATTATTTTAATGCTGAATTCTGAGTTTCTTTAATACTCCTAATCACTAAGAAGAGGTTTTGATGACTTTACCCTCCTCCAGCCTTGATGAGATGAAAAATATTAAATGGATAGACGATCAATTTCTATGGATGAAATAGGCATCAATAGATTAGAACATATTAGGTTCGATAAGTACGACAGCTTAAAATATGCATTTTAGAAGACGAATTTATCCGTACCATTCCTTTTGGGAGATTAAAAAATCGCTTTTAATATTTTCAGCTTCACAACTTTAAGCTATATGTATGGAATTTACTAATTGATTGTAGTAGAATTAATATTTAAGCATGGCACTATAAAGACATTTATCTGCAGAAGTATCTTATTGTACTCATGAAATTATACATGAAACATTTGTCAGATAAAGCATGAAAAACGATCTTCCATATGGAATGCGTTCATCTTATTTACTTATGGTGATAACGGACTGAAAGTTGAATTTTCCCACAATGACATGAGTATAACTTATTTTTCGATTAAATACTACATATATTTGCCTTAAAAAATGTACTATAATAATCGCCTTAACGAAATAGGGTGGATACACCTCATATATATATATATATATGTATATATATAATCTATTTCTAGTCTCAAAAAGCTACTTTTAAAAAACGACCTGCTTTAGTCAAGAAAAGATCGCTGATAAAATAGACAACATCAACGCACCTCTATACATTTGCACATAACTTATAACTAGATAAGTCTTATACCCATTGTAAATAAATTAAAGTATGCCATTGTTCAGAAAGCTCACCCATAAGACTATAAGTATATATGTCTGGAGGCGCTCCACCTTCCAATAAGCCATCATCAATTAGGTAACTCACTTGCTGTCATGATTATTTGGATTTTAGGACTAGTTCAGAGAATACATCAAATTAGACTTAATTTAGATTTTTGAACACACATCAAGTTAACAAATATAGCATAATTTACATAAGAAAAGAAGAATAGAACTATCGATATATACATAAGGCAGTCTTATCATCCATTTTGGGATTAACTTTGGTCATAATATTTGTTGGGTAAAGTAATAAATGTACAACCCTTATATAATTTTTAATTTTCCACTATCTCACATGTGAGTCGTGTATGCTAAATTGGAAGCAAGGCTGGTCGTTTCCCAACTATTTCTCCTTGACTTGAAAAACATACGAGAATTATGGGAATTTGTGTACTCGTAATTGAAATAATGTAAGAGGTAAGACAATAAACAAAATTCTAAGTATAATATTAAAGTGATCATTACATATATTTATTATATAAAAATGCCAGGTTCTATTAACTTCAGTCAGTGTTATCATAAGTAGCTTAACTACCATCAGGGCTGGAGGACAGTTATTGGTCAATTCGGCGATCTTTGTTAAGCCTAACCTATTAAAATTTCTATCATATGAATTTATGATGCATATAGCTAAACTGAGTCACAATTTAAATGATTTTAAAATGGCTTCTTTATAAAAACACAATTAAATATAATCAATATTGAACTCACAATGAATTTAAGTAGCATTTATTAAAGACAGAAATTTATTTTACTAGTCAGTTACTATTCATTTTTACATCGGCTCGTTTGGAGAGTTCAAACCTCGCTTTGCGTTTATACACTTGTTACGGTCAGCCGCGATAATGTCTGTTGTCCGCATTCGAGGCTTGCCTTATTCAGCTCGTTCTGACGATATCATTGATTTTTTTAAGGGTATGAATATTATGACTATTTAGCATCAGATATTAAAATTAAAAATGGTCGACGAGGTATTAGTTTTCCTCATGGCACGGACGGTAGATCTAATGGAGAAGCTTTCGTTGAACTAGAGAATCCAGGAGAGGTGGATAAGGCACTACAGTTGCACCATAGCAGCATTGGACGACGTTATATAGAAGGTATTTATTGATAAAGCTAAACTCTACACAGTTTTCAGATATGGTAAAGACGAAATGTACCATGCTCTTGATAGTGGTGTTTATCGTCATCCCGATCTCGCCGAATACGTTTTGCGTCTTCGCGGTCTTCCATATGACACTGAAATAAGGGATGTAATTGGATTTTTCAACGGTGAGCTTAGTTATATGCACACCTATTTGCCTAGGCCATGAAATTATTGTTTTAAATGATTTTACAACTTATCAAGTGTATTTCGTCAAAATATTGGCTATATAACTAATATTTTCTTGCTCAATGCGAATGCTGTCTTTTTCCTTTATCAGCTTTTAGGGTCTGGGAATTTTTGTTTCACCTGATAACTGCTTTTCAAATGACTAGGCTAAAATCTAATTTAGTCAACTTCTAGCTACGTCCAGCTAACGATTGTTTTATTACTTTTATTACCTTGGTTGTTCCCTTAGGTCGATGTAACCTAGATTTTTTAACTTTTAGTTCGCCTCATTCATTACATGATTTAATTATGACCTCTGTGTTGTCTTGCTCACTAATGGTTGACTTATAAGTATCCGTACTTATGTGCATACTTAATTTGATCGTAACTTATTGCGTGTTATTTGGATAAAAGCTTACTTAAATTTTATTTATGCGTTTCTTTCATTTTTCCTTCATCTGACGTCACATCGGCGGGTTGGATGGGTGATATATGGGTTGGGTGGTGGTTGGGTGTGACTACAGGACTCGATATAGCACCAAACAGTGTCGGACTCCTCGTCGACCACATGGGCCGGTCTACTGGAGAGGCATATGTGCGATTCACTTCCGCGGAGATGCTAGCTCGGGCAAAGGAGAAGCATATGGAGAAGATAGGGCACA